AGTCTGTGGGCAATAAAAACGCGGCGTCCACTCACCCTCTGCGCTTTCACTGGGAGCTGCAATCCTGAGCTGTTCCTAAACGGCCATCTTGGATCCGACCCCGCTACCTCATTTCTTAAAAAGAGCAGTTCAGTCATTATTTTATAGCAGGAGTTCTAATGTGAACATATTGCTTTAGGGGGCTGAAATCAGAATGTGTATGCTACCAGGCACATACATTAGCCAGCCAAGCATTCTCCTTCACAGTGCTTTTACTCCTTCATTGCTCCCTACACAGAAGCCTAGTACGCATTATTCAAACTCTCAGCGAATTGCCACTAAGACCTTTTACTTTAAAAGAAAAAAATAAGGGGGAGTTGAGAGCCACTTTTAGAAGCTGGTTTCCTATGTATTTCTGTGCTATCTTTCCTTTCTGTGAAGAAAGCCCAAAAAGAAGAATGGAAACGCTTAGTGTACCCCATCAGCAAGGTCATTAGTCCTGAATTAGATCCATGTCAGCAAGTGACAGTCCTGCCCACTGTGGCGATCCTGGGCTTCTAGTGGCCTTAGCTCTCCACTGCTCTGTGACTTTGCCAGCTGAAGGGGACCAACATGCCTACGGACATAGGACTCGACTGCCAAGCACCCATTGAAGTCAACAGTTATCCCGGAGACTTTTCTTGGTGAAGCAGAGAAGCAAAAAATTTGGCAATGTGATCAGGAAAAAGTATCTTACTCCCCATATTGCATATATTTGGGAGTGCTGGGCAGGATGGCTGGGGAGGGCGCGACTCTCTTTCCCACAGCTCACAAGTGAACATAAACAACAGATGCATCTGAAGGACTCCCCACACACACATTGCCCAAGGGCAGTCTAAGTGAGACATGGGAAAACCGAAGTCATCAGCTATCCCTCCTTTGGGACTGAAAAGTCACCTTGGCCTCATTGGAAACACCGTGGGTGTGGGTCTGCCGCTTGGCCGCTGATTGTGGTCTCCGTTTGGGGTAAGGAAGCAGAGTCTGCAAGATGACAGCAGCCTAGTATGTGCAGTTCCACTGGGCACAAACATGAGCTGAACTCATTCTGTTTTTTATCATTTTTCTTTTTTTAATTTGAGACAAGGTCTCACTTTGTTGAGTGCAGTGGTGCCATCATGACTCTCTGCAACCTCTTCCTCTGGGCTCAAAGGATCATCCCACCTCAGCCTCCCCAGTAGCTGAGACTACAGGCATGCTCCATCACACCTGGCTAATTAAAAAGAAATATTTCTTTTGTAGAGACAGAGTTGCTACGTTACTAACTCCTGGTCTCTAACTCCTAGCTTCAAGCCATCTTCCCACCTCTGCCTCCCAAAGTGCTGGGATTATAGGAGTGAGCCATTGTGCCTGGTTGTTTTTCTTCTTGAGTAACATCATCCTCTGTCTTGAAGAGAGATTATGAGTGTCAAAGAGAGTTCAGAAATATATCAAAGCCAGGAGAGTTACCTGTGTGGAAGTGAAACACAAGTGCACTCATGGTACAAACCACAAATGTCATATTTTAGCCTTATTTTGAATTTCTTTGTGATCGTGGGCACTCATTATACCCAATGTAACTGAATACTGACAAAGACCCCTGGCAGGAGGCAACGAGACTGTTTACCCTGAATACATGATATGGTTTAATGAAAGTGAACGGGACTTAACACCAGCAGAAATTGCTCATGGTCTAACAAGGCAGTTTCTCTAAGAAACAGATTTGCTGAAATAGGTCCTGGCTAATTACGTACTCTCTCTGTTGCCTCTTTGGTTTTAGCAGCCGTCATGATTTTGTGAAAATCCAATGATACGGATATTGCAAGCAAAGAGTAGCCGATTTAATCACAAACCAGAGTATTAATTGTAAGTTCCAGCTTTGCTAAAGGAATAGACCTCCAATGGGGTAAGCTACTCATTTGTATGTTGGCCTTCACTTGGGTGAAAGGAAAAAACTCTGGGTTTCAAGGTCTTTGGAAGATGGGCGCAGTGAGAGAGCATGGAAAGATATGTGCTTATTAGGGTATTCCTGAACATGCTTTCCATAGCAAATGCCTGGTCTTTGGAAAAATCCCTTACTCGGGGGATTAGAATATTTTGTGGCTTCAATCTCTCACATTCTACTTGCCTATGTCCTCATTAGGGTCTCACATTTCCCAGTCACCACGCAGCTAACCCAGCTCGATTTAATCAGCAGCAGACATCCATCAGGAGGAAGGAAGGGCCATCCCTGCCCCCTGGCAGCCTCCCATTAGTGAAATATTCACCAAGAAAACAGAGCCAGAATGCAAACAAACAGTGTTGACCATACCCTCACTCCACTTATAACCTCCTGTGATCTTTGGCTTCTGTTCGGTAATTGCATTTATTTTGACTTCATTAAAAAATGTGAGAGATGGAATTTTATTTGGGTCTGAAGTTCAAAGATTTACAGCCCAGATATACCAGAAAGAGTTGTTTTGATGCTCTTATCAGTTTAGGGTTAGAAGTCTTGTTCTATTTAGAATGTTTCCCTGTGAAGGAGGCAACACATGTCCCTCACATTTTCTCAGCAATTTACCAACAGTTTAGAACATACTCTCATAATCATTTTTCTCAATAATGTTGTAAGTTAAGTGTGATCATTCTTAGTTCATAAATCCTGAGTCCCCTCATTTTCCCAGACCTTGTAAGATTAAAGGTACAATGCTTCACAGGTATCACGGATTGAGATAAGCAGCTTCTTCCATTCATAGATGTCAGTTCACTCAAAGTGCTCCTTCCCTGTGTCAAGCCCACTGTCCTAAGCCGACAGAGAGGAACGCAAATCTTGAGTCCAAGCAGTGTTGCTTGTAATGGACGTGTCAGGGAAGAGCCAACATGTTTGCATTTTTATTATTATTAATTAAATCACCAATCCCATTTGAGTATACTAATTCACAAAGCTACATCGCTGGACATTGTTTGCAAACACCATCATGATCAGAAATTCCATCATCTTGAGTGTTCACCTGTATGCTCTTGAGTCCCTCAACCCTGCTGTCTGCATACAGCAGACTGATGCCTCATCCAGGCCCCGTCACATCTGCATGCTGAGTCTTGTCTGGCAGGGCTCCAGCAAATGAAGGGAGCTCCACATCTGTCCCTGGCAACATGGCATTCTAAAAAATTACCATACCATAAAGCCACTTGAAATATATACCAAACTTACAAAGAGAGATGAAGAAACTAAAGCCTAGAAAGTTTATGTACCCGAACCCAGTTCAGGTTACTATTATAAACATGACAAACAAGGAGGGGAGCCAAGATGATGGGCGAAGAGTCCTCTCTCAGCTTGATGGTCAGGAGACTTGCCTGAGAGCATGTTAGGGAACTGCTGACACGAGACACTAGGATGTCTTCTGGAGACGAGAGCAGGACAAGTGCTGACCACAGTGGATGTGGACTGAAGATGCCAAACCTGGCAAACATGTATCACAAGTAGGGACACACACCAGGGAAACACTGTGCCCTGCAAGCTGATGAAGGGCAGTGAAGGGAAGCAAATAGTATGAGCTTGTGTTTTATGCATCTTCACGCCCACAGCTTCCAAGAGAGGATCTGGCTCAGAAGGCACTTGACAACAAATGCCAGGAAGTAAAGCTCTGCTGATGTGCGCTAGGGCAACTGCGTGCCAGGACACCTAGGTCAGAGTGCTCCCCTAACAGAAGCAATGCGTTTATTTTTAGGTCCTCCCCTTTATGGTATTCTGACTGATGCATCAGATGATAACTAATCAGCACTGAAACTATTACCATTAGATTATACTCTTCTTTAAAATATTTGGCTTTGCTCCTCATTGAGTTAAAAGCAAAGTCCCTAAAAGTCCACCTCAGTGATTCTTTTCTCTTCCACTGTTTTTATAGCTTCCAAAAATGGCTCTACAATTCAGTGTTAATGGGATTGTTTTCCATTCCTCTGCTTATTTTCATCAGATGAGAACAATAAAAAAAATTGTCCTTAATTGTCCAGATCATTCAGGATATTAACACCAATTTATGGCTTTATACTAATGTGTCCCATATTTACAGTGACATACTTCTTTGAAATCTAGGATTGTGTGATTCATAAACAATGGCGTCAGAGTAATTTGTGGAGCTTGTCAAAGTCTGCATCCCATGGAGCCTCATGAAATTGAACTCATTGAGCCTGCAGTCAGAGAGCAGTGGGCCCATTGTTTCTTTCATCATCTCTGCCATTGAAGGACTTCCTAACAACTAGACATGTGCAGGAGCTGGCACGTTAGGGAAACATCAACCCCAGTTATATGAATATACTTGACTAGTATAAAAGAAGAAATAAAGAGAGAAGGCATAAATATGAAAAACTAAGAATGAAAAAGTGCACCTAACCACAGATATAAAGTTTAAAATTTACTGGAAAATATGAAGACCATGTCCACATTAATTGGTTAAAATTAACTATTTCCTAGAAAAAAAAATTACTGTGATTAGCTAAAGAATCATTAAACCTGAATAGAATCATAGTCATAGAGATGAGGGTAAAGGAACATGGCGAGAATGTCCCTGTGGTGGCAATATTGATAATTTTTTTTAAGCTTGTGAGGTTGGGATAATCTTTACATTATGTAAACTCCAAAGAGAATAGAAATGTAAAACGTTTCTCAAACTTCTTTTTGTGTTAGTATAACTGTGGCATCTGAATCTGCAAATACTAAAACAAAGAAGAGAACTTTAGGTTTACTTCAGTTATGAATAGCAAGGCCAAAATTCTAAGTTAAAGACTTACCAATGGCATTTGGTCGTATATTTGAGGAATAACAGTATGTGCCTAAATTATCCTCAGGAATAAATTGCTGATATATTAAAAATAAGTCCATTAGTAGAAAATCTAAAATAAACTAGTAAAAGAGCAAATAATATAAATTAATTTCAAAAACTATCAAAGGGGCATTCATTAAATTTCAACATATGTTCTCATAAGAACTATATTATATGATCAATGAGGATGACAAGAAATAACTAATAAAATTCATTTGTGGGCACCCGTGATAGTGAAATTCTTGAAGCACTGCTTTTAAAATCAGATGCAAAAAAGGGAACGTATTATGATTTACCATCTTTCTGGAAGTTCTACTAATTACTCTAAGATACGGAAATAGAAATAAGGAATATAGCAATTGCTAAGCAAAGGAAGGTGAAGGTGTTTGTATGGGTTGCCTTATTGATCTCAATGGCTTTTTGGTATTATATTCAAATATGGTGCCTCACACTGGGGCATGAAGCTAATCTTGGCCCTTCCCCATCATTGGGAAGTGGTCAAGGAAAAGTAAGTGGTGTCAAATTCCTCTTTACTCATTGATGTGGTGTGAATTGTGTTTCTCCCAAATTCGTATTTTGAGATCTTAATGCTCAGAACCTCAGGATGTCACTGTATTTGGAAATAGGGCCTTTAAAGAGGTGACTAAGTTAAAATGTGATTGTTGGGTGGGCCCCAATCTAATATGACTTGGTGTCCTTATAAGAAGAGGATACCAAAGGAAGACAATGTAAAGATACAGGGAAGATGTAGGGGAAGATCATGGGAAGATACTGGAGAAGGTATAAGTAGAAGCCAAGGAGGGCAGCTTCAAAAGACACAAAACCTACCAGTGCCTTGATCTTGTACTCCAGCCTCCAGACCTGCAGGAGACATATGTTTCTGCTGTTTCAGCCGCCCAGTCTGATACTTTGTCATGGCAGCCCCCACCGAGTAGAGTACCCTGTTTTCTCATGGTGTTCTTTTGTTCTAGTTGGTGCCCAGTGATCTTGGCTCTACCTTCATAGCTTCTGGTGGCAGGGCTGTTGCTTTATGCCCCAGTTTGGTGCACAGATATCCAGTGGCACTGAGCTGAGACCTCATGAATCTCAGTCACCAAAGACCAGCTTGCTGTTTCTGATCCAGAACTGCTGTTATAAATCTATTAAAGGGTACGGATGCTACCTGGCTGAGACCACAATAGGAATTCCCACGAGGTGGGAGGATCAGGTGTTTTCTTTCTAAACTCACACCAACCTCTGTGCTTCAGAACTCTCTCAGAGTGTTCATCCCTGCTGACTCATGTGCTGTGGCAGGCATCGGACACCTGCAGTGCAGTAGGTTCTTTTCCAAAAGTCCATGTGACTTCATCACGTGAACCAGTGTCTTGTCAAATGCCAGATGCTCCATCTCCTCTGATCCCATAAAGGGGGTTTTGTCAGTGTCTCAGACAGCCCTGCCCTCCTTGCATTTCTTGAAGAGCTCTGGGAAGCTGCCCTGATGGTGCCAGAAGAAAGCACATCATAGTTCCGACTGCGGCACCAAGCACTCCTCCTAAAACAAGAGGCAATATTGTTCTAACAAGGAGCACATGGAGGACACAGATGCCTTAGCCAAAAATCTGGGAATGTTGAGAAAGAGGAAAATACCAATATTGCCAAATCCTTCTGAGCTACAAGTTAGAAAACATGTTTCATTCAGCATTGGTCTGCATCTTGCTAATTAAATAATAATAGCATTGCCCTACTGAAGAATTCAGAATTGCACAGAACTAAAACATAAATGAATTTACAAGAGGCTCCCACTCTTGAATACATTCAACAGAAGGAACGTCTTCTTTTGCCTGTGGAGCTTAAGTCTCACTCTTACACTGCAGTAATGCGGAACAAAACCAATGGAAAATTTTCACATTTTAGCTGGGGGCGGCGGGGAGAAAATGTGCTGTGGCAAGAAGCATATTGAGAGTTATGTCCTTGTTCATACAATGATATATATGATTATTTCATCACAAGGGCTCTGAGCCATGTATTATGCACCAGATATATGCAATGAATAGTTCTTTCACATCTCTTTTCTTTTCTTTTTCCTGAGACAGTCTTACTCTGCCACCCAGACTGGAGTGCACTGGTGTGATCTCGGCTCATGGCAACCTCCACCTCCTGGGTTCAAGTGAGTCTCCTGCCTCAGCCTTCCAAGTAGCTGGGACTACAGGTGTGTGCTACCATATCTGGTTATTTTTTTTGTATTTTTAGTAGACATGGGGTTTCATCATGTTGGCCAGACTGGTCTTGAACTCCTGATCTCGTGATCCACCTGCCTCAGCCTCCCAAAGTGCTGGGATTACAGGTGTGAGCCACCATGCCCATTTGATTAGGTTTGCATAGCCTCAAATCCTTGTGAGTGTCCCTCCCCCTGAAAGGTTCTTATGGGAGAAACTACTAGCTGCCTACTATTCCTGGAAAAATTCTGATAACAACAACAAGAAACAAGGAAATCTGTGCAGCTTCTTTCTCTCCTGTCTTCTCTGAGCAGGAACACAGAGGCAGTCCCTCTGGATTAGCATGGTGAAAAGGCAGGAGCATGAGTTCCTCTTGTGCAAAGTCAAATCTTTGCATATTCGGCAATAACAATGGTGTTCACCAAAAGACAGTGGAGGAAGGGGTGTATCAGAGACCTAGGTTTGCCTTTTCCAAACTCTTCCCAATACCTGCCCCTCTTTCACTCAGTTCCCTAATGCTGAATTCTGAAAATTTTTCCTAGAAGTCATATAACATTGGCTTAAAATGAATTGAAAATATTCTTTAAAGAAAATATTCTTTAAACATCTCTGAATATTCCAGATGTTTTTCTTTCATGTATAGTCTATTTTCTCTATTATGAAAGAAAACCAAGTTCATTTTAAAAATGAGAAAAATACAGAAAAGCAAAAGAACGACAATAAAATCTCCCACACTCCCACTCACCTTAGGACAGCCCTCAGCCTCACCTTGAAATATTATGTCCTTAGATGACTTTCTTATACAAATTAAACTATATATATTACTATCATTTGTCTGAGAAATTGTCTCAGAAAATCTACTGATGAGCATTATTTGTTCTACCTTTTCACTGCTTAAAGTTCAACAGAGCAGGAGTAGCAAGTAAAAATTTAATCACATTTATGAACATTAGAAAAGTTTCTGAAAAACTGGCAAAACTTCTCAGAGATAGATCAAGGTTTGCAAAACTACTCCCCAGAATGCATCCATAATGACCCAGTAATTAGAAATTTGATTTTGATCTAGACATCATATGGCTAAATTGTCTAGTTTTCCTACTTGAATGTAGGTCAGTTTACCTTTGGCCAATGTAATGCCGCCAAAATTGTGTGTAACAACTCTAAGAGACTTCGTTCATTTTTATCTCAGTATTCTTTCTGTAGAATGCAATCTCTATCCCCGACCTCATATTGAATCTTCTCCTGTGGCCCCGTTTAAACACCCTCTGGTTCTCCTTCCTGCTCTTTTCCTAAATTTCTGGCAGTTTCTTCAAAGTTCCTCCTCCTGAAAAGTCCAAGATGTGTTGGGGAGGAAACTGTGGATATATGTACAGTCTGCAGTGCCTAGTAAATATCTGCCCAGCAAAAGTGGTATCTACTCTGATTTTTGCATCCCTTTATCCAATAATAAATATAGCATGTATGGTGTAAGTCTTTTTTAGTCTTCATAAAAATTATGCATGCATTAGTTTCCTTTCCCCCACATAAGAGTCATAAGCACCAAGATGCTGCAAATGTACATGATTTGCATAAATGTGGAGGCAGATTTTAAACAGAGGTCTAACAGCTATTTTCTGCACAGAGCTGGATGCAATATTTGGACATGAGAACTGGCTTTGTTTGAAGTTGAAGGAAACTTTAAAACTTATAAAACTGGGTACAAAACTAAAAACTTGCTAAGTTTTCAAATTCTATTATGGCAAATTCTTTCACAAACCTTAAATTTGGGAATGTAAATAACATTCTTCCAGGCAATGCAGAGCTATTATTTAAAAGTTAAAAAAACAGACTCTTTGAGCAATGGCTTTTGTGAACTTGGTTGGCACTACAGCATGTGTTTTGCAAAGAGTCAACACAAAATTATTTGCGGGAGGTCCTGTTGCTCAATGTGACTTCATATGTGTTTGATCGTGTTTCACAGAATGTGGAGAAAGCACTCCAATTAGGATGGGGTCAATGTAGCTCTGCTGGATGCCAGTGGCTTTGGATCTGATCTGACAGAGCCGTAATCAATACTCAGAGAGAACTTTTTCCATGCAGTTACCACTCCAATCATTTACATATTCCCTAATCCTCATGGCAAACCTACACATTCTTGTGATTTTACAGATGAAAAGACTGAGGCATGAAAGCGTTGAAGAGGCTGTCCAGAACCAGCAGTTAATCACAGGAGAACTGAGAGCTGAGTCCGGGCTGCCTGGCTTGCAGCTGCCCTGGACCTGCCTCTTGAGCTGCAGGGCTGTCAGATCCAATGCCCTTGGCATCTGTAGAGAAAAGCCATCCACATAATTCTTATACGTAAAAGAAAAACCATTTTGGTTACTATAAAATACACTGTATTCATTGCATGTTCACATGAATTCATTGGCCAGCCCCAATTGTCCTTTTCCAACGTCACAGCAGGTGGGTGAGAGGGTGGCACAGTGGTCGGAGCTGTGTCACCCTGCTGGCCTGCACCCTTGTCACTGCATTTTCCCACCAGGTACCTCATGTGTCTGCCTCCTCCAACCCCACGTGGGAGACTGCTCCCATACCCCAGAGCACAGTCTTCACAGTGTTTGAATCTGGTCAGGCAATACTGGGCAGTGCCCCTGTTGTCCAGGGAAAGAAACCAAAACCTACCCAGGAAGGTGCGGGGAATACATGGAAGAGATGGCGGTCTGGGTCTGGAATGTTGGTAGGATTTCTATGTGGTAGGAGTGAGTGAGGAGATATCCATTTTAGGAAAGGGGAAATATCTCATGAGCACAAATGCAGACAGGCCAAGCTGGGCACAGTCAGGAGTGAAGAGCTGGGGTCGAGGGAGCCCAGGAAGGGAAGGGAAAGAGCAGAAGATGAGGGAGGCCTGGAAGCGGTGGTTTGCAGCCTGAGTGTCCTCTGCATCCTGTCTTCTCAATTGGCTTTTGTATGTTAGCTTGCATCCTACAAATGTGCTTAACTTATTTACTAGTTCTAGTAGCTTTTTGTAAATGCCATCAAGTTTTAGTCATCTGTGTGAAAAAACTGTTTTGCTTCTTCTTTTCTAAGATGGATGCATAGGCTAGAAACTTCAATGAATGTTGAATAGCAGTTATGAGACTAGGTATCTTGTCTTGTCGTGACAGCAGGAGGAAAGCATGGAGTTTTTCACTAATCAGTACTATACTAGCTATAGGTTTGTTGTTGATATTCCTCATGAGGTTGAGAAACTTCTTTCTGCTGAGAGTTTGTCAGGAATGGCAGGAATGGTAGGAATGGATGTTAACTTTTGTTCAAAAAAATACATATATTTAAGTGATCATATAGTTTTCCTTTACTAGTTTATTAGTACAACAAATCTGATTGATGGATTTTCAAAAGTTAAATCAACTCTGCATTTGTGAGATAAACCTCACTTGGCCATAATGTGTATCCTTTTTGCATATTGTTGAATTTGATTTGCTAAAATTGTGTTTGGAATCATTGGATCTTGTTTCATGAACAATATTCATCTTTAGTTTTCTTTTCTTGTCATGTCTTTATTTAGGTTGGTATCAGGGCAATGCTGGCCTCAAAAAATGAGTTAGGAGAAATTCAATTCTCTTCAATTTTCTAGACATCTTTGTGTAGAACGAGTGTTATTTCTTCTTTGGTGGAACTCACCAGGGAAGCTCTCTGGAACTGGAGTATTCTTTGTGGGAAGGTTTTTTGTAACCGTAAATGCAATGTCTTTACTAAGTCCTGGGTTCTCTGGATCCCCCACCTCTTTCTGAGGGAGCTCTACAGTTGTGCACTGTGGTGCTCTATGATGAGAATGGATGAAGGAACAGAGGAATGGACAATGGCTCGCTGTTTGGAGACTGATTATGTATATGTTTGGGCCAAAGTGATGAAGAGTCCTAGAATGGGAAAAGAAACTTCCTGGCTGCAGGTTCCTCAGAGCTAGAGAAGCTGGTGCCCCAGGTTGCCATCCCATTCCTTATGATCCCTGCACCCACCAGCAGACAGGGCGATGGTATCTTGTCCTGATAGCAGGAGGACAATGAACAATATAGGTACTAACAATGAACAATAAAATGTTCAAAAAATTTTTAAAGTGCACTGTTTAAAATGGCATCAAAAATATTAAATACTTATTGATAAATATCACAAAAGATAAGAAAAACCTATGCACTGAAAATGAGAAAATATTATTGAGTAAAATGTGAAAAGACTTAAGTGGAGAGGTATAACTTGTTTATACATTAGAAGGGTCTATACTATTATGCTATCACTTTTTCTAAAGATTCAGTGAAATCCCAATCAAAATTCCAGAAGGAGTTTTTGGGTAGAAATGTACAAGCTGGTTCTAAAGCTTCATGTGGAAATACAAAGGATCTAGAATCACCAAAGGACCACTGAAAAAGAAGAGCAAAGTTACAAGGCTGACACAAACTAGTTTAAAAATTTATCAGAAAGCTAGAGTTGTCAAAACAGCGTGGTATTGGCAGAAGATGAAAAAAAAATACATCAGCATAACAGAAGAGAGTCTAGAAATAGAGTGACATATAAATGGTACAACTAACTTTTGACACAGGTGCAAAGTCAATTCATTGGAGAAAACATAGTCTTAAACAAATGGTGTTGGAACAAGTCTATCACTATATGCGAGAATAATAAAATGATACATGTGCAAAAATAAATTCAAAATAGATCACAGATCTACATGTAAAACCACGAAATTTAAAAATTTCAAAGGAAAACACAGAATTAAATCTTTGCAATGTTGTGTGCTAGACAAAGATTTCTTCACTCTGACATCAAAAGTGAAGTCCATTTAAAAAAGATGAGTTTGTCTGGGCATGGTGGTTCACACCTGTAATGCCAGCACTTTGGGAAGCTAAGGCAGGAGGATTGCTTGAGCCCAGGAGTTGGAGACCAGTCTGGGCAACATAGGGAAACCCCCATATCTACAAATAATAAATCAATTAGCAAGGCATGGTGGCATGTGCCTGTGTTCCCAGTTACTCAGTGGGCTGAGATGGGAGGATCACTTCAGCCTGGAAGGTTGAAGCTGTACTGAGCTGTGATTGTGCCACTGAACTCCAGCCTGGGAGACAGAGTGAGACCTTGTCTGAAAAAAAGAGATAAATTAGATAAATTTGACAGTATTAAAAACTGTGACTTTTAAAAAACACTGAGAAGAGAATGAAAAGACAAGTCATTATGAGGTGATAATACTTGCTGAGCAAAAATCCAATATATAACTTGTATCCAATATACGAAGGACTCTCAGAAGTTAATAATAAGAACACAAGCAACCCAGTAAAAGAATTGAGGCCCTATATAAAAAAAATATGGAAAAGATTTGAACAGACACTTGAGCAAAGAGCAAATAATAGAAGAAAAGATGGCCAACATCATTAGTAATTTGGAAAATGGAAATTAAAACCACAATGAGATACCATTCACATTTATTAGAAGGGTTTATATAAAAAGAGTGACTACAGCAAATGCTGGTGAGGATGTGGGGAAGCTAGACTTTCATACATTGTCAGGGAGGACGGATGTAAAATGGTACGATCACTTTGGAAGACAAGTTGTCAGTTTCTTAAAAAGTTAAACATATGCTTATCAAATGATCCTTCCATTTCATTCCTACATATTTGCTTAAAAGAAATGAAAATACATGCCTGTAAGAAGACTTATGCATGAATGTTGATATAGCTTTTTATTTGTAATAGCAAAAGCCTGAAAACAATCCAACTGTTCAACATATCAGAGAATAAACAAATTGTGATGTGTCCACATAACGCTACAACGAAAAGAAATGAATTATTGATACACGAAACAATGTGGACGAATTTCAAAATAATTACACTGAGAGAAAGAAGCCACACTTAAAAGGGCACAAGTAGGATGTCATTAATATAAACTCAAGGAAATAAAAACTAATCATTAGTGACAGAAAGAAGATTGGTTGAATTGACTGGGCATGGGGCAGAGTAGAGCGATGAGTCACAAATAGGCACAAAGAAACATTTGGTGGGGAGACATGTCTTCTCTCATGACTGTGTTAATGGCTTCATGAATGTATGAGGAGGTCAGACATCAAATTGTACACTTTAAATATGTGCAGTGTATGGTATGTGAATCACACCTCAATAAAAATATTAGAAAATAGAGAATTAAAACAGCAATGAGATGCCATTACACACGTGTTAGAACGACTAAAATCCAAAACACTGGAAATACCAAATGCTGGCAAGGAAGGGGTGTGGCAGGAACTCTCATTCATTGCTCAATGGTACAGCCACTTTGGAAGAGACTTTGCAGCAGTTTCTTACAAAATTAAATACACTCTTAGCATATGATCCAGCAGTCACACTCCCTGCTATTTGCCCAAAGGAAGTGAAAACCAATGGCCACAGAAACCTGCACATGGATATTTATAGCAGCTTTGTTTATAATTGCCAAGACTTGGAAACAATCAAGACGTCAACAGGTGAATGGATGAACTGTGGTACATCCAGACAATGGAATAATATTCAGTGCTTAAACAGAAAGGAGCCATCAAACCACGGAAAGACATGGGGGAAACTTAAATGCACATTACTAAGTGAAAGAAGCCAATCTGAAAAGGTTACATACTGTATGATTCCAACTATATGACACTCTGGGAAAGGCAAAACTTAGAGACAGTAAAAAGATCAGTGGTTGCCATGGGTTAATGGGGTGGGAGGAGTGAATAAGCAGAGAACAGAGAAATTTTAGGGTGGTGAAACTACTTTGTAAAATACCCTAACAGTGGATGAATGTCATGATAAATTTGTCGAAATCCATAACGTTGTGCGACACCAAGATGAGCCTAGCATATCCTGCGGACTCCAGGTAATGATGGCGTGTCAGGATGGTGGCAGATGTGCCAGTCTGGGAGGTGGCATGGACATGGTGACAGCAGCACTGGGCTCTCTGTACTTTCACTTAATTTCGCTGTGAACTAAAACTGCTCTCAAAAGTAAAGTCTTTTTAAAAATTTAAAAATAAAGAGGAGATGAAGAAAGAGGACAGCTGGAGGAGAAAAACAGAAGCAGGAAAGGCAGAAAGAGGAGAAAATGTGAAGAAAGGATTCTCTCTGGGTTTGGGTGATGAGAGGCCAGATAGTGATGAACAGGTACCTGGGAATGTTCCAGAAACTCTTCTGTCCGGTTGCCATGCTGAGGCCCACTGTGTTCATCTCAGCGTGGTCATGTGTCACCCATGGGAAGGAGCTTGGGTCCTAAGAAGGAAGGGTCTTCCCTTCCAGAGACTCTGTCCCAAGCCTGAGGCTTTCTCAGCACTTCCAGGGCCTCTGGAGAATGAGTTAATCAGTTCTGCTCCCTGTACTTCGCCCGCACCATGGCAGAGAACTTACCTTCAGCTCTTAGCATGGCCCACAAGACCTTAAAGGCTGAGGCTCTGTCTTGTCTTTGGACTCTCTCACTCAATAGGCTTCAGCCACACCAGCCTTCTCTCTTCGCTGAAAACCAACCAAACTCCTCTCTGCTCAGGGCCTTTGCACATGCTGTCCTCAGGCTTGGCGGTATACATGCCTTAACCTCCCAAGGTCTGGAGGTCTAAGGTACACGTTACCGAATAGAGAGGCTTTCCTTTTCCTGCTCAGCCAAAAACTCCAGTTTCCCATCTGACACTAAGTTAGAATCACAGTGCTGCTATCATAAAATAGAAGGTGAGAGTTGTGTTTTTCACTTCATGTCCTTTGTGAAACCACTCCCACATCTAGGCATGCCAGTGAGTAAAGGCAAAGGCCAACCTGTGGAGCCTGCCTGCTCCCAGTCCCTGGGTCCCCGAGGAGGCCCGTGTGCACCAGCCTCCTGCCCTGAGAGCATCACCTCACTGAACGCAAAGCTCCTGGCAATCACCTGGCCCTGCACAGTTTTGAACCTGGAGATGTGGAAATTCTCTAGCTTCCCTCCTGACTCACAGAGCTCATAGCCGGGCTGCTGCCCCTGCATTAGAAAGCAGCCAGTGCCTCTCACTTTGAAATCTGAGAGCAAAGAGCGGCGACCTCAACTGTGAAAAACAAACTCAATACAATTCCCGGATGGAGCTTGTGGGTTCTTCTCTAAAACCCACAGGCTCAGCTTCCCAGTGTTGCCTTGAGTCTGTCTATAAATTACTTTTATAGGAACGTTATCACATTATTGAAAAGCAATAAAGCCTTCCTAGAGACATAGCTCTCCTGTTTTTGCAATCTTGTGTGGATGGCTTCTATGTGCTGCCTCTCCCCTCTTCATCCAAGCTACTCAAGTCCTTAATACCTCCTGGTGGATCTCTCCCATAGTCACTTTTTAGCTTAAGAACAAAGAATCTGCTCCAAATGGAATAATATTACTAACAGATTATTCTTATATCTCAATATCTATAGGGAGCTAATAGCTGGGTCAAAGAACATAAAAAACATGTGGATTTTATTTGAGAGGGAACTCTTATCAACAGGGAGGCTGCTGCCTCCTAATGTTTCTATAAAGTCTCTTGGTGTTTTGTACAGCGATTGCTTTCAAACACATGAGATCTCAACTACTCTTCAACTTTGCAAACTGCTTTACTCTTTAAGTTCTGATAGAAAATAATCCCCAGGGCTGGGCGCTGCTTCCTTCCCCTAGGGGCTGCACATTCCCCTGCTGTGTGGTTGCTGAGCCACCTGCCTTCCTTGGGATCGTCTCACTTGCTCTGGGGGGCCACAAGGAGACAGGGAGGGCAACATGCCCTGCAGGCCCCCAGTTCATTGCTGCTGCCCTGCTGCCCAGGGGCCACTGGGTCGTCTGCTTCCAGTCTCCATTCGACATCCAGGTCTCCACTGTTGGCAGAATGAACAGCCTGAGGCTGAAGCTGACCACGTCATTCTATATGAAATCCTTCAGGGAACCTGTTGTTCGCAGGATGAAGTTTCAGCTCCTCCCTGGGAACCTGGATGCACCAGGGTCGAGCCCTGCCTGCCTCTCACCTGGTCTCCTGACCCTCTCCAGCTTTTCCTAAGGCTTCCTGGAACTGGGGGGTCTTCTCCTGAACCCACCTACAGGGTCACAACTCCCTCACATGTTGCTGGAGCTGTTTCCTTTCCTTTCCTTTACATAATTTCTTATTCTTTTTCTCCACCTGAATAACTATATACTTACTCTTTAGGATGCATATGTGTGTGTGTGTGTGTGTGTGTGCGCGCGCGCATGTGTGTGTGCATGTGTGTATATATGTGCTGCATGCTTGCCTAAAAGAAAAGAGAAATGCATCCAGTGACAATGAAACAGTAGCAGTGGACAGAACAGAGAGCTGGGGTCAGCCGCAGGGACTCCTCCGCTGCCACCTCCTCTTATATAATTTAGGGGTGTATTAGTCTGCTAGGGTTGCCATAACAAGAAACCACCAGATGTGTGGCTTAAGCAACAGAAATGTATTTTCTCATCGTCCTGGAGGCTGGAAGCCCAAGATCAAGATGTTGCAGGGTTGGTTTCTCCTGAGGCCTCTCTCCTTGCCTTGCAGATGCTGCCTTCTCCCTGTGTCTTCACGTGGTCCGTGTGTGTCTGTGTTCTGATCTCCTCTTCTGGTAAGGACTCTAGTTATATGGGATTAGGCCTCCCCAACAACCTTATTTTACCTGAATCATCTCTTTAAAGGCCTTCTTTCCAAGTGCAGTCCCATTCTGTGAAATGGGGATTAGGTTTTCAACACATGGATTTGGAGAACACAGTTCAGCCCACACAGGATCCTTTCTCCACCCTGGATTCAGTTGCTCTCTCCCTCTGTAACAGGAGGGTTGGGCGCTCGTGACAGTAATCTTGTGGGTCCTTTGCTGCTTTCAATTTTTTGGATGAAGAGCCAGGCAAGGAGAACCCAGAGCTGGGGCCTTTCCATCCTCATGCCATTCTGTCAGAAAACAAGCCAGGCGTGTCAGACAGGCTTATCTGTGTGGTGCCTGAGTCCTCACCCTGCCTTCTTTGCTACACACTTTTCCCTCTCACACAGAGAGAGACAGAGGAAGGAACAAGTTAGGTGGCGAAAATACCCAGATCCCTATATGGTCCACAAAGTAGCGGAGCCAGCATCCAAAGGCTTAGAACAAAGAAAGCGAGTGGAGGGAAGGGAAGAGGGGAGCTAGTGGGAGTGTCCAGACTCCAGATGACAGGAAAAGCCATTTGACCCACAGTGGCTGGGGAAGCAAGTGGCCTCTCCCTCCTTCCCTCTAGTCTTCAGGGATGGCTCCAGCACATGCCACTGTCAACACAAGAGAGAATACCCGCTCTTTTGGGGTGTCCCACTGGGGTGCCCAGAGTTGCAGGGTCCAGGCTGCAGACAGCTCTTTGTGTGGGTCCCTGAGTCATCTTCCAGATGTCTGCCCTGGAGAAAGTCAGGCACGGAGCCCAGGGGCTGTGGTGTGCACTTTGGAACAGGAAACATCTAACATTGCTTAAAAAAATAAAAGACTCCGCTGTGTTTACTTTTGAAACCACTTGCCAGCCCATCCTGGAGAACTAGACGGCAGAATAACTTGGTAGTTTTGGAGCAGATAGAATTCTGGTCTCCAAGTTCAAATCCATCTCTAGAGTATGCTCCTTATAGAGGCCCAAGAACTGAGTGTGGATTTTGTCACGAACAGTATTTATGTAGTCATAGTCACAGATGCTCCTTAGTGATTTTCCCCTGTAAACACCCACGTGTGGACAAGGGCACAGAACACTCTGCTATCATTATCACAAAAGAATGGCTAAGCTGGCCCTTTGTAGAGGTGTCCTCCAGTGCGAAGCCTAGCTGACCCTACCCCAGGCTTGGATGGGCCCCTGACCTATATGTCCCTTCCGTAGGTCTCCACCTGCAGCTGTGGTGGCTGTACACAGAATGCAGCTCACATTCAGGGTTGTCACAGGTGCACATTGTGATGGGACTTGCTACATGTTTGGAGAAAGGAATGGCCTGTTCTAATTCTGCAAGGTGCCCACAGGCTGTGAGGTGCAGAGCAGACCCTCAGGGGCAGTGACACCTGGTTACTCACATGCTCCCCTCTGCACTGGGAGCCCACCTAGATGCCAGCCATGCCTGAACAGCTCATGGTGGGCCTCAGCTTGTACACAAGGCCTGGCACAAGGCAGGCATGAATGTGATGAGAGAAAGGAACTAGTGGAGATCCGGGGCTGAGAAGAGTCCCTGGAGGGAGCGCAGGGAGAGGAGACGAGCGGGGCCTTCAGGGCAGGGCTGGAGGCAGAGAGGAGAGGTGGCCCACAGGGCACAAGAGCGTGAGCTGACACTGGGGACAGGCGTGCAACCTCAAGCAAGGCCTCAGACTCTGTGCACTCAGGTGTCCCCATCAGAGCATGAGGATGGGAACAGCAGCTGTAGTGAGGACTCTGTCATAGAAGGCATTGAGTTAATATTTTGCTTTTTTAAGTTTTCAAGATGTTCATTTAAATTGATAGCTAAAATTGTATATAGTTATTGAGTATAACATGACGTTTTAAAGTGTACATACGTAGTGGAATAATTAATTCTAGCTAATTAACATAGACATCACCCCACCTAGTTATGATTTTTGTGTGGGAACACTTTATATCCACTTATTCCTTGATCTGACTGACACTTTGCACCCTTTGATCACCATCTCCCCAGTCCCCCAGTACCATTCCCCAACCTCATGACAACTGTCATTCTACTCTCCGCCTCTATGAGAACAACTTTGTTAGCTTTTACATATGAGCTAATATGTCTTTTCTTTTTTTCCTTTTTATTTGAGACAGGGTCTTGCTCTGTTGCTCAGACTGCTCAGGCTGAAGTGCAAGGGTGCAATATTGGATTATGGCAACCTCAACCTCCCAGGCTGAAGTGATCCTCCCACCTTAGCTGGGACAATAGGCACATGCCACCATGCCTGGCTGACTTTTTTTACTTGTGGAGACAGCATCTTACTACATTGCCCAGGCTGTTCTTGAGGCTCAAGTGATCCTCCCATCTCAGCCTCCAAAGTTGTGGCATTTCAGGCATGAGCCACCACACCTGGCCATGAGCTAATATTTCTAAGTAATATTTCTAAATGCTTAGAATAGCACCAGGCACAGAGATGGCAGGGTACAAGTGTTTAATAAACTAGACAAATGAAAAGAAGAATGTTAACCTTGACGACATGAAATTAAACATGAACTGATAGAGGTTGGGAGCAGGAAGGCGGAGGGAGAAGGAGGCATAGACACAGCTTGTTCAGAAGGGCTTTCAAGGAGACCTCAGTAATGGGCTTAATCTCCTGAACATTCACAGCCTCCTCAATGGGATGCAATCTTCTGTCCAAGTGTGTTGACACTTTTGCATTTTGTTGTTGTTGTTTTTTACAGTGCAAGCTTACTGAATTCTTTTTCCAAAAGCAAGAAAAGCAGAGAGCTCTGGCCATCTGACTGGAGGAGGCCCTCACCTCGCCACGCCTCGTGATGCACACAGAGCTGCTGCCTCCCTCTCTCTTTCCAGGGTCTTCTTCCTTCTGACTCCTGATATCCATCATCGACTTCTGGGTCTCCCACATGAAAAATCATGTCAACCCATCCCTGGGTAAAGCAAAAGACAAGGGCCACATTCACACAGGTTCCAAGTCTGGAATTTTCTAGGTAGGAGACAGACACACCAGGAAAATCATGTGGTCTTAGGACCAACAACCATGGCCAAGGAGCCTTCCCTTCCGGCCCCTGGGAGGCTGATACCCTTCAGGACGCTCCAGGATGCAGCAACGGGGCTAGAGGCAGGGTGTCACCACTGGGGCAGGCGCTCTCTTCTGGGATGTGTGTCTCAACCAGAAAGTCCTCCTCCATGCTCACCTACGAAGAAAATTTCACCCCAACGAATGTCACAGAAACTCCCTTAGCCCTCGAGCTAGCACATTCTTTGCAGAAAACGGTCTCTCACTTTCATGATCAAGGGGATTTACTCTTCCCAAGAGCATTTGTTTATTTTGGTAAGAAAACCTAAGAGAGAGGCCTCCTCTCTGTCCATTCCATGGCAGGGTTCAGTCTCAGGGCAGGCCGGGAGCTTGGGCTCTGGAGGAAGGGACGGCCTCAGATTGCACTGAATGCCCG